TGTGTGTGTGTGTGTGTGTGTGTGTGTGTTTTCAGACACTGAAGGCTTTTGTGGAGCTGAGGTATATTGATTACTCAGAGCTTCTTGATGGTGAGCACTGAGTGCCATTGATTTAGACTGAGAGGTAGGTGTGAGAGGGATCACATGGAGATTTCTGTGTTTTCACATCATTACTGGACACACTGGATTAATATTTTACACTTCACTGAACATCAGTGGCAGAGGCAGTGAAGTAGGAAAACTAATTGCCTCGACACAGTGCAGCACAGCATGTACAAGAAGCAGAAACCAAAATTGTAAAGAAGAGGCCATTTTTAAATGGAAAAATGAGAGGATGTCCATTCTTTATATAGATTTTTTTTTTTTTTTATATTAAAATCTATTTATTTTTTGTTATGTCAAAGGATCATTTATACCATGTGGCTTAGAAGATAAAACACTGTGCTTGAACTGCAACGTAGCGTTAATCTTATTACAGTAATCTCTCTTAAATGTATTAAAATGTAAAAAAAAAAAGTATAAATTACAAAGTAGTCAGTGTAGTAAATCCTTTTCTAATAGCACTATAGGCACTGGGGTCTTCGGACACACGGATCTCTTTCAAAATGAAGACTGCCATGTTTGGGTGGAGATATAGGAGGACGGTACATTCTCATTTGCAAATCATCTGTGGACAAAACAGCGGTTGCTTTTGAGTAAAATTAATGTGCAAAGATTTCATAGTGAAGAAAAAAGAAGTGTTCCTCTCAGGTTAAGCTTTATCTCTGAATAAAAAATGTCAACAGTTTTAGTTTTTCTGAAATTCTGTTACAATATTTTTAGACAACCAGTTCTGCAAAAACTTAATCTAGGTTTTCATCCATTTTCTCCCAGAAGGAGCCATACCATGCTGGCAAATGTATCTGTTCAGTGTTTTACAGCGCTGGTCATTCCAGTTGAAACCACTCGATGCCTGCAGCTCGACACAGTTTCCAAAACTGTAAAGAAAAAGAGAAGCTGTGGGTGGACTAATGTGAAGGGTTTGTGATAGATACCACAAATGGTTAGCATTATGCACTGCTACTGAGAGCATGGACAAAAGAAGTGATTATAATTACAAAGGTTAAGGAAACACAGAGGGAAACAGAGACATCTAGTGGTATTAATGAGGGATGCATGTCAACTAAGATCACTGTCTTTTCTATTGGTTAAAAACTGGGTTAATTAATTAATTTGAAATAAAAATAAAGAGCTAAAGTAAACAGAGAGGAAGAGGGCTAAATTAAAAGAAAACAAATGTCCAAACCCACCCTCAAAAAAACAAAACAGAAGCAGATTTTTCCACCTTTCAGGAGAATTGCTTTGTTTGTTTTGGTCCATTTCCCTCGGCCGTCTGTCAGTAGCTAATGTCTCATTCTAAATGGGTCTCTTACCCTTGGTTGTCAGGCTGCCCAAAGGCAAAGCTGAAGTATTTGGGAATCTCTCCTGTGTCCCAGCGAAATGAGTCTTTTGGAGGTTTATATGTCAGGCCTGTGGAGTAAAAACATGCTGTTTTATCTATGCACCATTTCAACTACATCCATACCCATAGCATGTCTATATAAAAAAAACAGCAAGTTAAAGTGTCAGTGTTTTTCAGTGTTAAAGATATAACTGATATATTTCATTTATATTAATTTATAATACAAAAGAGTACCTATCCAGAAGTTTTCAGTTTCAAAGTCATTCCTGGTGAGCTCGTTGCTCGTCTCCAGCTGACTAAGATAAAAAGCCAGAATGTCCTGAACCTTCTGATTGTGGATTTGAGCCAAAATGCCTCCTTGTTCCTGATGGTTTACATAAGAAAAAGTTTCAACTTGGTCTCTGTATGTTGTTTTATAGAAAACTCGATGAGGCTCCTTAATGAGGCGCACACATACCTGACAGTGACTTTTAGCCCCATAGTAGGTCTCAACATCAGAAGACACCATGAAGCAATTTCCATCTATGATGAGATCACAGCTTTGAAATGGGAATTCCACTTTCTCTGTTGGGACACAAGCACATAAACTAAAAATGAAGAGTAATAACACTGACCACCAACCTCAAAGCAGACAGAACAAACTTACACATGCTTGGGAACAAGCACAAGTTTCCTTACTCAGTGGCTGCCAGTTTCTCAGAAATAAAGTGATGTACACTAAGGTATTAAAGTGTCTACCAGTCTACCTGATGAGATCACAGAAAATCCCCTCATATCTCCTCTAAAGGTCAATGATGAAACCATCAATAAACTGCTATAGTATCCTTTACCATGTCATTAGCAGATGGCATTTCTCATTATGTGTGTGGACTATGTGGACGAATTAAAGCATTTCTTGGTCTCAGTGTAAAACTTGATTAGATATATAAAAACATAGAGAACCGTTAGTCAGTGACAATATTAAAACCACCAACTGGTGAAGTAAGATTTTCCTGTCTGATTCTGCTGGCAAATGTCAAATTGTTGGCTCTATAATGCAGTAGGACAATTGGAAAAAAGAGTGAGCATCTCAGTAACTTTGACAAGGGTAAAACCTTTATGGCTTTCAGGCTGTACACGCTGACTGTCCACCATCTAAGAGCACCTAAAATGTGAATGTAAGTCACGTCTTTTTAAAAAGCTGTTGCTTTTGATAAAAATGATTAATTGCATTTTCATTTATATCAGTGAACAGTGTGTGTGTGTGTGTGTGTACTGCAGGCATTATTGTCCTCTGACTGTTCATTAACAGATACAACCAGCCTAAACTTAGTTGCACATTATGTCAAGGTGTGATTAAAAAAAAAACCTCTGGTCTGGTCGACTTTTCTCTCGGCTGCTTTCAGTGTAGTTGCTATTATGAGATCTCTCAGTGAAGGCCTCCTTGAACACAAGCCTTTGTGCTCTAACTCATCTAATGTGTCAGATAGGTTATCCTTTCCTTGTCAGGAAGTGCAAGGAACCAAATCTAGTAACTAAGGAGGGCACTGAGGGCATACTGTGTTTGTGTGGCCATAAAGCACACTCTGTACTTCAGGTCTTAACTGAGTGTACTCTGTCAGACACCTCACAACAATAAAGTGGAACTCCGTGACGACAGTCTCACCCTGGGGGACAAATTCATGGTGCACAAACTATTAAACCTACCAACGCTATTAGCCTTTAACCCACTAACGTTTTTCTAACCTTGCTCATCACTTGAGATGCTGCATGTGGACTCGTAAACTGAAAACTCCTTGCAAATCCAATCAAGCTTTCATTAACAGCAATGATTGTCCACATAAAATCAGATAAAATGAGATCAGTCGTAAACAGAAGCTAATTTTTGCTGACTATACAAGTCTGAGGTCTGTGATGAAACTGCAAAGTGGACAGTGCACATGCTCAGAATGGGACTTCCAGGAAGTGATCAAAGAATAGCAGCATCTTTGGAAGCTGTCTTAAAAAGATCCAAGAAGAGGAAATTCAACTAGTAGATCAAATTTAATTTTCATTATCATTATTATTATTATTGTTATTATTATTATTAGTTTTGCCTTTGTTTTATTTTTATGGTGCTGTTCCTATATTATTATTTTTTAGACACCTTAGACAGCCCTTTGTGCCAGCGATCACTTTTAGTACAGTAACCTTGCAACACTGTAACAAACATGTTCAGGAACAGAGGGAGAAACTTTACAGGAATCTGAGGTGTAAACTCGATCCCCAAATTCTCTAGATCTCATTTTGATCAGGCACATGTGAGCTGGACAAACTAATTTTAACTACGGAGACCACAACTCACAATTCACAAGACTTAAGATGTGTTGCTAACATCTTGCTGACTGATACCACAAGTCAGCATCTGACATCCAGTGAAATCCATCACTTGACAGCTTAGAGATTATCAGTCAGTACAACTGAGACCTGCACAATATCAGGCAGGAGGCCTTACTCTTGTGGCAGACTGTTGCATACTAAAGCACACTTCACTTACCTGCACACTCAGCACCACCATAGCCAACAGCACACAAGCAAGAGCATTCCTCTTCTTTGAAATGTCCGTGCACACATTGCACATTGCACCGAACTGAAAAACACACAATAAAACAGCAGCATTTTTGCCTTTGCTTTCTCTTTGTACATTAAGATAAACAAAGACAGCAGACTGAGAATGATATTTATGACATCAGCAGTTGATAATTGGTACCCTGGCAGAAGCGTCCAGTGAACCCGAGGTCACACTTGCATTTGCAAGAGGAGATATTAAGATGGCCGTGTTCGCCACAGTTCATACGACATGGGTTCTTTGGAATCTCTGATTAGAAACACAAAAACATGTAGGCTGCAAAATGAACAACTGGGAAACTGATCATATTAAATATTAAAGAAAGTTTGCTGTCACTGAAAAAATACAACTATAAATACATTTTGTGTGTGTGTTTGTCTTACCACATAGTCCGCCTACATGGTCCCACAGTCTCAAACAGCCAGACATTGAGGAGGTGCAGAGAGAGCAGTACAGCCCTGATTTATACGGCATCACCAGTTCACCATTTACCTCCCAGTTACCCCTGAAACATGAAAATATATGCAGCAAAAAAATTGTGTTTTCTAATAATACTTTTAATATTTAGCTTTTTGGGAAAGCAAACTGTTACCCAGGATAGTATGCACAGACAAATATCTCCCAAAGTTCTCCATTTCTCCAGCACTGTTGGTTGGCACAGCCCACCTGGCTTGAAGTAGCCCAGACCAGCTACAAGACAAGAGAGGATTTGGACACACAAAACAGCATTTTTATAGGCAACAGAAACTGTATGCAGCTGTGGGACTTCATATAAACATGTGTAAGGTTTGTATATGCTGGTGAATACCTGGGTATAGTGTTGACAGGTGGCATTTTCCTTACATTGGCCGCTGGAGTAGAGAAAATCTTTTCCTTCCTCGAACCAGAAGTCAATGATGTCAGAAAATGAAGCAGCACCAACAACAGAAAGATGTGTGTTCCAGCCAATATGGCTGAAAGACGAGGAGTGTTGAAGGAAAGGCTCTTTGTGACACAATGTGGCTCTCTCCTTTGCAAGTGTAGCCAACTTCTCATTCCAGTCCTATAGAAAATAAACATCCCCATTATTCTGCAACAGAGTGACATGGGTTTCAATTTCAACAGTAAACAAAGAGACACAAAGATAAAAGGCTAATGCTTCCAATCTCGTCTCTGTTTATATGGTCCTATGGTCCTAGGCAACTGGCTAACATAGGAGGGTCATCATAAAAATGCAGCTCAAACAGGCCCTTTGTCTTGTCCTTGTCCCAGGCCCTACACTGTGTTTCTCTGATTTTTTGTTTAAAAGCTGCATTAGATTATAATATTTATAATTTATTTATATTTATGTCAGACTTGATCAGTATTGTCAGTATTTCCTACCAAAAGTTCCAAATAAACTACTTTGTCTTTTAAAAAGTGATGTATATCAAGGCAATCTAAAGTAGGTTAATTATACACAGTGATTAGCCAGTGTCAGCTATCAAGATTACATGGTAAATGGACTGATTGTTATATAGCATTGTTCTACTCTCCTGGAGTACTCTACACAACGCGCCACATTCACTATCTTCTATGCGCTTTCTAACTACCATTCACACACCAACAGAGGCATTGCAGAGCAACTTGGGGTCAATATCTTACCCAAGGATATTTGGCATGCAGACTAGGGGGAGCCAGGGATCGAACCACCGAAGTTCCGACTAGTAGAGGGCCTCCTGAGCTACAGCCACCCTGCTCCTAAATGTAGGAGAATGCATATTGCAAAATACATAAAGGCCCCAGCTAGCTGGTGAGTTTAAACCAATAACTTTCTCGCTTTAAGGAGACTTTTATCACTATCACTAGCATCACTGCTCTGCCCTTTTCCTTTTTGTAATTTTGGAATAAGAGGAATGGAACAAAAGTTGTCTTTTTGCACATTAAGCATGATGCAGAAAACAGTACCAGAAATCCTCAGTGGGGTTTCAGTGAATAACTGCCTTTATAGAGTGACTCTGTTCTCATACAGTTAGGCATCACACAGGCTTTATTCCAGGGACCTGGCAAGTTAAAGATCGGCTAATATAGACAATATGTGTCAGAAATGTGCCCCTCATATACCCTTTTTAAGCACCTAGAACAGTTAAGAGCTAAAGTGCACGTGTGAAAGCCATCATGATGTACTTTGGAACTATTGATATTGGGGTGGCTGTTGTCCAGGAGTGTGAATGCTAAATTTGATAAAAGCGAGTGAGTAAATGAGTGCAGTAAGAAAGCACTTTGGGTGTTCAAATAAAGTGCTGTATAACAGTCCACTGATATACATAAAACTCTTTGTTATTCTGGTGCAAAACCATTAGTTTGCAGTAGCAGTGTGCAATATGTCTACCAGAACAGGAGTGAGGGATCTTACATCGATGTGTCTGCTTGGCTGGCTCTCTGATGTCATGCACTGCTAAGACTGCACTACCCAAATCAATCACAGGGCTTTGTTAAGAGTTGAGGCGTGAACTCAGTGAGCACAGTCCATGGTTAGCTACAATCCTGACGAACTTTAGGTCAAAGAAGAATGATTCAAATGTCCACAATCATTTTTTTTAGCCTAAATGACAGAGATTCCTGCTTCTGCTTGTATTTCTGTCCCTCTGTTCTGTTCATAATTAGTACAGATGGAAAATCCAAATCTGTCTGAAATGTCAGACTGACAGGATTTTCAAGACAGGTTTTCCTGGTGTAACTCTGCTGTGTAGTGTCAAAACGCTGAGGCCTCTTGAGTTCATCATTCACTCTGCTCTCTGATGTCAGCCAGCCAAAGCCTTTGATGACAGAGGGCTATTAGATCACTGGGTAATATCTTTCATTTTGAGGTGTGCCATTATGTATCAGCGCCTAACAGCATGAACAATTTATGCATTTCAGCCTTCTTTGTGGCACCAACAACTGTTATATTCAGGTGTTTAGTAGCAGTAAAAATACAGAAAAAAAATGGAATTGCATCTAAAGTTCAGGAAAATGGCTCCCACTGAAGCTAACTACATTAAAATAACATGTTGGACCCTTGGGTATAGTTCTGAGAGAGATTAGTAAGATAAAATCTCACAAACAAAGGTCATGATTTCCATATCAAAAGAGACCACTAAACTTCAATATCGGCCTCTTTGAGTGATGGTATGACCTCAATACTTCTTAGCCTAAAGAGCTCAAAGAAAATCCGCCGACAGGGCACTGGGTGAGAAAAGGAGGAGCATCATTCATTCTTGGAATATTGGTATTTTATCTCATCCTGAAAGCAAAGCCTAAAGGACCATATAATAATCACTTCAACACAATCACACCATAATACTTGGTGGTTCATTCTTGTGCGGGAGAGGGGGAAGAAAAAAAGTATATTAAGATATTCGCAAACACAGGCGAAGCCTTGAGCCTTTTAACGTTTATCAGTAAAGCTCTTTAATAATGCCTCTTCAGCTTGGCAAAGCCTTCTCTGAGGGTTTTCATGGGGAAATTACCTGTAAAACCAGAGTTGTGAATGCAAAGTGATTATCCACATCCTCTTTTTCTCATTACTGCCTTATCAGTTGCGAACAGTTCTCTGAGGCTGAAGAGCAGTCGAAGAAAAGGGGCTCAGTCTGTACGACTGGCTTTGAGGATGTAATCTATGAAAAAGTGACAGTTTGCCCTGGCACAAATCACATATTGGGCCCAAAGGGTATCTAGTACACAGTGAGTTTCATAATCCTTCATTACCTCTCATAATCACATACATGGAAGAGAGTTGTGCAGATAAGCACTGTATAGCAGACCAACTGATGGAGTAAGACAGGGAAACAATTTAGCACTGCTGTTTAGAATTTGCTGCACATTCAGAAACATTACTCATTGTTTCTCTCGAAACATGCTGTTATTGTCATGTTTACAATAGACCTATTTGTTGATCATTAGAATAAAGAGACAAGTGAAAAATGTTGCTTAGTTACTTAACTTTAGTTGTCTAAGAAATAAACTTAGTGACCCTGACAAACTTGCACACACCCAGTTGATATTGGCCTCATTCTCATTTCGGACGCTATCAGTGAGCCTGCAGCAGAGCAGAACAAATTGTGCACTAACGCTACTATTTCACACTGCCGAGACTATCAGTACTACAAAGGAAGACAGCTCGACCCCAAACCCTGCTGTTTGTGTGGTCATTTGGTAAGTTTACTTTTAAAAATTTAATGCATTTTTAAATTTTTTTTAATTTTAATTTAGTGTCCTTTAAATGCACAGGGACCTCAGTAACCTCAAGAGTCCTCCTAAGTTTATAGATGCTGTCATGGGAGAGTCACACTTAGCTGATTGAGCGCTCAGCTCGGACGTGCTACCTCATATCTTCACACATTCCTGATCAGTGTGACTGACACTTATGACAATTACTGTTTTTCTGGGCCTTGGAACTGAAGCTGCAGGCTTACTTAATGTTAGAAGCATAACAATTAAGTTTACAACCTGCAGCTAAGTGTTTTTCACACAGGAATGGGAAGAGAAACAACAACAAATAACTAATGTTCCTTATTAGGAGAAAAACATGAGCTGCATAGGAACACCAGACAGTCTACCCACACTGATTAGTTTACGTGAGCCCACACTGTTAACAAAAGCGTGATGTTAAACTCAGTGACAGCAAAGGCACCATTCAAAAACACACAGAGGAGACAGACAATAGGTGCCACAAACCATTTTTTGCATGTTAGCTGCCATGGGTTTGACCCGGCTGCGCAGTCTATTGTGGTGAGCAACAATCTGTGAGTGCTCCTTCACCCCGAGCCCTGGAAGAAGATACAGATGGTCATTAACTATACTTCTACTGCTGTCGCTGTGGCAACTAAATGCAAATACACTGGAGAGAGACAGAGAGTAAAAGTTTGGACTGTAAAGTCTATCACATCTACACCCGGGAGTCTGTAGGTTAAACACAAAATCAATCACAACACATTTTAAAACTTTTTAACATTATTGAGGGAATTCTTTGTCATATGAATCTCATATGAAAGATCTAAAACTGTTTTAATAATATAAACCTGCTGGCAGTGTCTTTAAACAACATATGTATGTCTGCTGATCATAGTGTATGTAATTATGCTATAAATAAACACTAAGAATGTGTCTACATCTTATGTTAACTCAAGTAAAACAGTTAACTGAACGTATTCCCAATTCTCCTTACTTTTAGCACTTAGACAAGCTAAAATAAATGCTATATAATAATCTAAATTGGGGCTGACCACCTTAAATCTTTGTTTGTTAGGCTGTATCATGAGAAAATTTTACTGCACTGCTGACTTTCATCTGTTGATCATCAACTTCACATCTTACTGACTTAATTTACTGATATTAGATCTAAAAACATTGAAAAAATTAAAGAGGAGCCTGTTTAATTCAATTTAAGCTAATGACACATTTAATATGAAGTTTAGTAGTCAGCAGAAAATTACATTTTACTTCTAACTAACTAGTAGATAAAAAAATTGAACCTTTATAACTGAACCTGTCCTTTCAAACACCCACTTCACAGCTGCACTTAACCAATCTAAAATGTGTGTAAATTGATTACCCTCTACTGGAAACTGTCCCTTGTGGCCACCTGACTTCTCTCACAACGCTAATTGTGTTTACCGGTGGTGGGCAAAATCCGGAGCTCCGGTGTCTCTGCCATGATCCAGTTTGCTGAGTTAAACGAGGGCAGAAGAAAGCAAACGACAAAAACATCCAAATGCCCGGACGCTGTTACCGACCCCATTGTGAACTCCTGCAGTGTCTGCACCAACAGTGGCCACTTGCTCTGCTATCCTATCCTGCCTCCCTGCCCCTCTCCTCCCTCTTTTATCCTCACCAGCTCAAGTGCTTTCACCTCAGGCTGCGGCACATGCCACTGACTATTCAAAGAGGAATTTACTAATCCTACAGGGGCTGAAGACACAGTGTAGAGTTTCTATGCCGTTTCAATATATTACTAAGAAAATATTCAAATTATCCCAATTTTAATTTGTATTTAAAGCATACTGATCTTTCAACAGGTTATAAAAGTGAGTAAAAGCTGAGTGCCATAGCAATTTTACGTACTATCTACCGATTAGTAATGTAATCTACAATATTTCAAGAATTCTTTAAGCTTTTACTGTGACACATATGATGAGTATAGCAAGATCATAACAACAATTTTAAAATAAATGGGGTAGGCAGTAGAATACCATAATAAAGTATAGCACTTGAAAATAAATGCTTTGTTTGCATACTTTCCAAAACTGACAGCAGGTGTGTTGTCACTTACTGTCAGACGCTGGAAGGAAAACATATGGCTTAATGATTTCTGTCATTCTTATTGATGGATTGCTGCTACTGAATCACTGATATCTGTTTTTCAAATGAGCCAGTTGAAATCTGTCTTCATTTCTAAGCCATATGAAACTGTAGGAGAACATGATGTGTGGTAGTACAAAAAGCCTAGAAATATCTGTGTAAAGGTATAGTATGGTGCTCTCTCTGGGTGCCTGTTTAGACTTGGTGACAATGTTTTTAAGGACCCAGTACGGGAAGCATGAATCATGAATCTGCAAACTGTGAGGTGATTCAGTGTCTGGGGATGACTGCAGCACAGTACAATACAATCCCACTCATTTCTCTCCATTGTGGTCTTTAGGTATTTTGCACTGAGGTCCCTTGGCTGTCCACTTATTTCCCATCCTTTTGATTCTGCTGTATCAGTGAGGAACAGTCTGACTCCGCTGAGCCAAATGACAGCTGTGCGCTCAGTCTGTTAAAGGCTCAGACAAACACAGACCCACAAAGATGATTTCTCAGGTAAAACCAACAATCAAAGGAAGAACCAAAACATTCTTCATGCTTGAGTTCAAAGCAGTAGTCAAGGTCTTCGGTACATTTTACACATCGAAATGTAGCGCTGCTGACTGCTCACAGGGGTGTGATGACAATAGTCCATCTACACAAATGTTTTCTTTAGCATATCTCTACATTTTTATTAAAATGATGAGATTTCACTCAAAAAAAGATGTAGCAGAGTGAAACTGACATATCTGTTTCATCCCTATTGCAACATTACAAGTGTATCTGTCCACAGCTAACGTTGTTGTTCAAGGAAAGGCTAAGGTATAGGACAAAGCAGAACTGGTTTAAGGTGCAGCTCTTTATCGCTTTCTTTAGAACTAAGGATTAGCTCTGCAAGTGCAACTTCAATCCACATCACTCGTGCACCATACAGACAGGTTTAAAAATTATAATCTATCACTTACCTCAACAACTAGTCATGCTGCCAAAACTTTCATAAGTCAATGCACTGATTCCAAAAAGTGTGTAAAGGTGTCCTGAGGTATTAGGTGTCAAATTGTTTGCAAGCATATACAGTAAGCTGAAAGTTTGGTTCTCCATAGTATAATATTCAGAATATTATCTCTTGTTTTTCCCTTACATCTCACGTATGATACTCTATCTTGCATTATATTCAGGTAATCAGTGTTATTCACACCAAGTCTGCAGTTGTAATATTCTGGCTGATAGGTGTACATGTAGTCTGCTTACTCTTGCTGCGTATAGCTCATTTAAGAAGAGCATCTGAGATTAAAGAGATGAATTTAGCAAAGTAAAAGTGAACTGGGGGCACTTTTTGATTTGGATCCAGATGTTATACAGCTGCCCACAATCCACTGCTACAATAATAGCCACGGCAGGTATGGACATTATGCTCGAAAGCTAAAACCAGTCTTTATCTCAATCTAATTAATCAGTCTAATTACAGAACAGGAAAGTAATTTAATTCCAGCAGAAGTTACAGCATCACTGTACCTTTTCTCCAAGACCAAGCTGCTTTAAACAGAGAGGAAGTGCACTCCAAATTAAGTAAAAAAGGATCATAATGTGGTCACATTTTTCTCCTTTGCTGATTGGCTACTGAAGAGTAAACAACATTCCACAACCTTTAGCTGCGGCAGCTTTCCCACTGCCAACTGTGGTCCTTCTCTCACCTGAAGTTCCTACACACTCTGGGAGCTGGCAGCACAAAGTTCACACTGCACGCAAGTTCTAACACATTTGAGAAGCGATTAGTGAGTGCACACTGGACTGGTTTTAGTGGAAACATGTTTGCGTCACCTGTGACTGCCATCACCTTACTGTGTTTCTGTTTGCTTCATCCTACTTTGGGGCAGGTAAGCAAGTATGTAACTAAAATTGTTAACTATTGACTGAATAAATTAGTCACAGCAGAGTACCTGAACTTATATCACGTCATTCCACTTAAAGTTCTTATGTCAAAAGGAATTGGTTAAAATGTGCTTCATGAATTATGTATGGCTTAAAGAGAATTGCATGCATAACTTCTTCTGAAGTCCAGAGCAGATCTTAATGTGAATGTACTTCTTGGCATCACAAAAAATGTTTCACAGAGCAACCTTGAGTCACCCTTACTTTGCACGCAAGCCTCAAGAGCAACATCCCAGAGGCTCCGGTGGCTGAATTCACTCACTATATGCTGTGCTTCACTGCAAACCAGCGAAACATTTCCAAAACGCTGCATCTGGCTGTGAATGGCTCTCTTCAGCTTCTACCATGCATGTCTGTGCCTGTATGTGTTTGTTTGTTTGTTTGTTTTCTACTGAAAAATGGCCAGCCAATTATGTGTTTGTAGAAGTGCATAATAATGTGAGTGTGATGCTGTAGACTCTTGTATATGTGCGTGAGAGCATATTGTTATTTAGGCTCTAAATCTATTAAATAGAACTGTGCTGCAATTTTGTGCTTCAGCACCACATGCCTCCTACAGACTGTGGTAACATCACCCAGTTAACATGAACACCATGTGAAATATCTCCCAGCACAGGCAGAAAGAGGCCTTTGACAACTACCCGATAAACACCAGCCATCAGCCCCAAAAATGACTGAAGTCATTCCAAACCTCAGTTCAGTCTAAATAAGAAAAGCGTTTTCAACAAATATTGACTCTTCTTACATAACTGCTGCTGGATGAAAACACTAATTGGTTGTCTGAAAACATGTGAGAGAGCAGAGGTCTGGTGGGGCCTGATGCTGTAGAATCAACGAGAGTAATGAGGGAACGGTTATGGGTTGAAAATAGGTGTGTACAACTCACTTGAGCTCACACCCTGTTAAATGAAAGCAAGGCGCTGGACGGAGATGACTGAGTGAGTCAAAAATCAGCAAGTAATTACCCTCTAATGAAAGCTTTTACCTCCATTTCTATAATGACTCGTGTAGTTAAAACTTCGAACCTAAGCAGAACATCACACCTGGAACCACATAAGAAAGTGTTACACACAGAGCCTTTCTTGTCAGCATGACTGAGTTACAGTATGGAGCTAGCTGGGGGGGAGGTTCCTGCTGGCAAATATAGTGACAAAACATTCTCTGATCCCCACAAGATTTACTCCTTCATATGAGCACCTCAGCCTCTGCAGTGCACTGGGTAAAATAGTGCAGTAGGTAGAGCAGATTCATTTGTCTATTCATTTAGATAAAGAGATTTTTTTCCCTCATTGCGACAGCATTCACACAGAAATATGTGCCGGTGCAATTTATATGACTTAACATTACAGAAATGCACTAGAAGTTTGATTTATTTATTTTTTTCATTTGACACAAAAAAGAAAAGCAAATCCTTTTTTGAAGACTTTTGAATGAATTCGTGTCCTTGAATGAACAGGAAGATAAATAAACTGCTAATAGAAACAGCATCACTGGCTTGTGGTGCTTTCATCTCTCAACAAATTTTACCTGTGCTGAGTCAAATAGATTGCTTTTCCATTTTCAGATATTTAGCAAGGATGGTGTTTTTTTGGTTTTTTTAATAAGAAACTGTCATTTTCAATTTAATATTATATAGCGTGCCTAACCTTCTCACATGTTTTTTTTAGATGGTTGCAACAGTTTTTCTGATCCTCTTTGTGAATTAGAAGATCAGTATTGACTTAAAATATCCAACATTTATGAATTTATTCAGTAGCTCTGTATTATTCTAGGACTGTCCGAGCAGGCAAGAAATTCAAGGATCCTTGAAGCAGGTCCAGAAGCTTCTGTCAGCCCATGAAGCCTCCTACATGCAGAGTCTGCGCAACCTAAAGAAGAAAATAAATTTACTGCTGAGCAGTGCTGCAAGGCAGAACACAAAAGCCATCAACAGTAAGTAAATATCTTAGAAAGACTTTATTCAAATTCTTAGATATCAGAATATTTCTGCTGTTATGTTTTTATAATTTCTAGGTACCTGCCCCAAACTGGAGTCCCTCATTAATGGGAGGAAACTTGGCAAATCGCACAGCATTGGCCATGAGGTTCACTTCCTGTGTGACCCTGGTTATGAACTCGTGGGATCAGAGAGCAGGGTTTGTCAGGAAAGCCTGACCTGGAGCGGCCAGCAACCAACCTGCCGAGGTGAGAGAGGAGCCTTCTGCTGCCTGGCCTTGCTGTGATGGTCATTTTCTCCATTGCGTCCTCCTAATCCTCCTCCCACCAGTGTTTCTCCACTTCATTACTCTGACCATCACTCATCATGCTATCTAACCCACTGATCACTTTTACAATCTTGTCAACATCCTCTGTGTAACCTCTCTTCTCCTTGCCCCCTTTTATTTGCACCATTCTGCTTGCTGGGCATCGAACATGCCGACAACATTTTTCTATACAATGATACATTTCACATGTGACCCATGATCATATTTCTTTATGTACTTTGGTCATTGTCCAGAGAGCTTTTTGAATGCTGTGACATGCGATATTCC